CTTGTACTATCTTAGGCTGAGTGGCCCATCTTGTCTTGTACTATCTTAGGCTGAGTGGCCCATCTTGTCTTGTACTATCTTAGGCTGAGTGGCCCATCTTGTCTTGTACTATCTTTGTTTCTGACACGTTTACGACCAGTTTGGACGTCCTATTTTTGGGATAGAAAGGATGAAATAATGACGATAGTTGTTTGATAGCCGAGGAGAAGGGTCAAACCGCACCAGAGCACCCGCCAACCGCTCCGGCTATTTCGGTTCGGAGAGGGTTTTTAAATCAGAAGGGGAAAGTGAGGATTTCATTTTCTGTCGGTTGATTCCGGATAAACCGTATTCGGTTTAAACGGACCCTGCTATACCCACAGAATTCTACACTTATTCTTTACTACTTCTACCCTCTGCTTTTTCGGTTGTTGCACCCAAAAACACAGCGATTCAAAACTATGATTCCAATCTATAGGCTGCACAGTGAATTCTGGAATTCAAAATTGGTCGCTTTTAAGGACAAGTGGGCTAACCCAGATTTCGGGGGTTTCCAGAATCTTTACCTACACCAAAAGTGGGCTTTTCCCTACCTATAGAAGAAGTTTTGTTTCATTTTTGTGTATATTTGTTTAGTTAGTTATAGAAAAAAAACTCTCCTAGTTTTTTAATGAAACTGAAAAAGGGGCAACAACTTTACCTTCGATTTTCTCAAAACAACATTTTTCGGAATAGCCCCCTTGTGCTTAAAAGCGACCAATTTAGGTAAGAGTTTTACGGCACTTGCTACACAATTATGTCAATTTAGTTTTTGTAAGAGTTTTACGGCACTTGCAACACATTACGGTCATAATAGTGTCGAAGATTAGAAGAGTTACAAGAGAGTAATAAACATAAAAAAGAAGGAAAGGAGATAAGGATAAAAGATGCTTGAAAGGAAAGAAGGAGCAAACCACACCACAGCACCCGCCAACCATCAACAACTATAATGTCATATTATGTAAGTGCCGAAGATTGGAGGTGTCACTAGACAGTAATATATAAATAAAAGAAGGAGGAGGAGAGATAAGAACAATAGTTATTTGACAGGAGAGAAGGAGCAACCCACACCAGAGCACCCGCCAACCAACCACATAACGAGCAAGGAGAACACTGGGGGGGGGGGGACACAACGACGCAATAACACACTGCAGGAAGCTCTCCCCTGCTCAGAACCCCCCACCCACACTTTTTTCCCCTTTCGATTCTCCCCCCCCCCCCCCCCTTTTTTCTTTTTTTTAGGCCCCCCCCCCCCTACATTATTGAAATTTTTTTACGTTTTATTAACTGATCAACATGAACAAAATGTAAAAACTACAAGTAAAACTGTAGAGGAAAAAAAAAGAGATCAAAGGGGCAATTAACATCTACCAACGAGAGGTTAAAAAATGTCATGACGAGTAAAAATGTGTAAAATATTGGCTAAAATCTACGGCTGGGTATAGTCTCTCTCTCTCTTTCTCTCTCTCTCTCTCTCTCTCTCTCTCTCTCTCTCTCTCTCTCTCTCTCTCAATATTTCTCTTTCTCTCACATTCTTTCTCTCAATCTCTCTCTCACTTATCCAAACCTAGTCAGCAGAAATGTTTTTCCTCCATTCCTAGTAAGTAGTTTGGATCCCCGTATTTTGAAGAGAAAAAAACACAAGTTTTCTTTCAAGTTTCATATTGTTCAATATTTCACTACTTTAACATTACAACATTGTATCTGCGAATTTTGAGAAATTTGACGTTTAAAATTGTGGGTTTCACAACTTGTCAAGCCTTTTCGAGTGCAATTCTTTTAAAATCTTGATAACGGCTCCGAATAATCTTGCAATTTTGAGAGAGAAAGTAGAACATCATTTATTGGTTTCTGACACTTCCACCGGGTTACTTTATCGAGATCAT